TGAGGGATCTCCTCATGGTACACAACCATCCACAAGTGGGCAAGATGGTACCTTGGAGGTGAGTGATTTCCCTCCACACAGAACAAGCTCAGTGTTTACCACAAAATCTGTAGTCTCATTATCAGAGGGTTAATTTATAATGACACTGTTGGGCTTCAAAATTTCTTACACCTCCTCCTGTTTTAGACAGCTTTCATTTATTGTTAAATATCAAGGGCCAAATTCCTCAATTTTCACTTAGTCCCTACTCAACAAAACTCTCATTGCAGCCACAGAGATTTTACCTGAGGAAAGATTAGGTAAACATTTGAGAAAAAACTTTGTGATTTAGCACAGGAAGAACCACCTGGAAAAAATCTGTAACAGTTCAGAATAAATGAAGGTACCAAATCTGAGGGCACAAAACTAGGGCTGTGGTGTATATGAGTGACTCAGAGTCCAAATATGACCCATAGGGTTTCTTACCATTCATACTATACTGGTATTGTGCCTGGTATGCTACCATTTTGATAGGTAAAATGCAGAGGTACAAATCTTCCCTCTAGTAGGGTTAATCCTAACACATTTGCCCAGTCAGTCATAGTGTATATGTTCATTGCACAGTTATTTACAACTATCTTATACCACACCATGTTCTTTTCACAGGGACTTTTTCCAAGACGTTCAAAGTAACCTTTGCAAAAGGGAAAAGCCCTGCAAGTGTGAATCTTTCATTTCTGTTTACTGCAGAAGTGAGGCCTCTAGCTTATTTTAATTTAAATATTTTTACACTGTCAATGATACACATTATATAATCATCGGGATTTTGATAGCTGTTTTAATATGTTTAAAAACTTACAGATACATCTTGGAATAGGTAACCAGCCATTCTTTGTACATTCTGCTGTCTTTTCCATGTTGTCCGTTTCAAAGTGAAATCCAGGATTACAATCTACTCTGATTACATCCTCTTCTCTGAACACTCTCTTTTGGGGCTGGAAGGTTCCATTAGTCACTAATGGGGGATCACATGTAATTTCTATACAGAAATAGACAAACAAGTTGAAATGCAAACAGGACTTTAGGCCATAAATCCCCTTCAGTTAAGATTCTTTATATCCATCTTTTTTATTACCTCTCAACATTGCAGTATACGAGCACTTTCTGCATCAAACTGTGAACGTGAGATCCCTGAGCACTTAATGAAGTCTATAGCTCTTCTCCTGTGTCTGCTGCTGGGAGGATCTGCTTAGGATAATTTTATTTTATTTTATTGTGTGGGGAGCAGGTAGTTATTGTTATAAGTATCATTCTGATTAGGGTGGGAAAGCTTTATCAAAAAGGCAAGTCTTGCAGTGAGACCTAAAACTGGACAGACATAATTTTTGTTATGTCACATGGAAGTTCATCCTATAGCTGGAGCTGGATCTCCTTCACCAAAAATACCTTATATCTGGCGCACACACACACACACACACACTTTCTCCTAGGCTTGGTGATTGGCATTGTCCCAAAGAAGTGCAAGTCTTGGCACATCATAAATGGAGATGTGATTTCCAATGTAGGTGGGTCCTGATCTACTAATGGCTTTGTGTTCATGATCAGAAGAACCCCTCCACAATATGTGGCTTCTGGGGGAAGAACCCCCCCAACCGCTCATTCCAGGTGGAAGCTCTACTCCTTGCCCTAATGAGATTGGCTGCGTAAATTATGGGTGGCCTTGGCAGGATTAACCCTGAGGTGAGAAATGCAGAACATAATCCTTAGTGCTCAGATGAGACAGGGGTCCTACAAACAAGACTTCTTCACTACACAACCCTGATTCATTCTCAGAGCCACTAGATTTTAATAGTTAGGTTTCAAATAGGCCCTCCTTTCTCTGCACCACATTCAAATAGCCCTTCAATACTCAGGAACCCCCGAGTCTCCAGGAAAGTCATCCCTCCAAGACATATTTTGCTATATGACATCATGGTAATGGACAAGTCAGGTCTGGTGTCAGAAATTAAAGCACCCACTCATTCTATAGGGCCCATTGACTTATGAGGAGAGGCTGAGGGAACTGGGATTGTTTAGTCTGCAGAAGAGAAGAATGAGGGGGGGATTTGATAGCTGCTTTCAACTACCTGAGAGGTGGTTCCAGAGAGGATGGTTCTAGACTATTCTCAGTGGTAGAAGAGGACAGGACAAGGAGTAATTGTCTCGAGTTGCAGTGGGGGAGGTTTAGGTTGGATATTAGGAAAAACTTTTTCACTAGGAGGGTGGTGAAACACTGGCATGCGTTGCCTAGGGAGGTGGTGGAATCTCCTTCCTTAGAAGTTTTTAAGGTCAGGCTTGACAAAGCCCTGGCTGGGATGATGTAATTGGGGATTGGTCCTGCTTTGAGCAGGGGGTTGGACTAGATGACCTCCTGAGGTCCCTTCCAACCCTGATATTCTATGATTCTATGATCAATAAGTATATGAAAAGCACCTATCCCCATGGTACCTATAAATCAGGCCCACACGCCAGAGCATTTTCTTCAATCCATATAACAGTGACCCTGGCAACAATACAGAACAATTGCTAAACAAACCAGAATACAATGACTACAATTACAATTCATGTAGTGTGGCATAAATAAGAGACATCTGAGTACATGAGTGAATTTCACCTGCTGCCTTGATTACAGCAGTGCTACCTATAGAAATACTGAGACTGCTCACCTGTGTCTGCACTTTGAACTCTGCAGTGTTTTGGGGAATGCACTCAGCCCTGCTGTATCAGGCAGTAGATTATGTACATGGATAGTCTCCAGAACTTCGTAAAAATGAGAGTGAATATCTTACTGTCCTCCTTCAAAGATTTTCATTCACTCTCTTGTTAATGACTTTGTCCTGTTTACTGTATATTCAACTGTTTCACCTTTGCAAAGTGGGGCTGGGGATGTCAACGCTATCAAATAATGTGAAGTTGTATATATGACAGTTTGCTGTAACAGCACTTGACTATGTACAGTATTGAGCATATTTAATATCACCCCTCACCAGGGAAGAGTTAAGCTAAAGTGTTGTTGAATAGTTAGATTCATTTTGCATCTTACCTTGGCCCTGAGCACAGAAAGCCCAGAGAAGCTGAATGATGAAACAACTCAGCAAAGTCATTCTGGTGGTTGACCAAGTAGACCCAGCACTTGTAATGGCTGACGTTGAGTTCTGCTCCTCTCTGGATTCTGGCCTCAGCAACTGCTTTTAAAGATTGATCTTGCTTTCTAACCCCTCCCTGTTGTTCTGTCTATCACCTCTCTTTCAACATCAAGGTACTAGAGATAACATATGTAAACTCCACCGGGAATACAGTTCAAGGGTTTTTTTTTCAATATCCTCTTTCATTACATGACATTTCTCCCCACGCAGCGTGATCTGCGATATACTTGTACAAAGTACTAAGACTTCTACTACTGGGAGTTCAAACAAATTCCTCATGTGTAAATATCAGATAAAATGTATTCTGCTGAGACACAGCATTTCACTAGTGGAGTCTGGTATTGTGCAAGTGCGAGTGTTTATCAAACACTGATCAGAAGGTCACTGGCCAAACAGACACTTTGAATTCTGGCGTGAAGCAGCACTGAATGTGGTAAATCATGTTTTGAAAGAATCCCCCTTGTATGCTAAGGAAAGAAACATTGTCATCATGGAGTAACTTATCCTGGTGTTTTGAGTGGAGTCAGGATATGGCCAACCAACTACCACCTACAAATGTTACTGTTGTCCGCAGTGTTTCCGATGGACACCTCTGCACAGTGTCTGGCAGGGCCTGGCCTGGTAACTCTGTTCTTCAGCAAAACATCTCAATGACTATTTATTTGGAGACTTATTGGGTAATACAACGAGTCTAAACATATTGGTTCAACCCCCAAAATACATATTTATTTTATAGAATGAACAGAAAACAATACAAATAGGTGCAAAAATTAAATGAATGCAATAGTAAGGGTGAAATTTCCATTGCACATGATTTAGGAAATGCAGAAGTACTGTGATGGTTCCCCTAGAGAACTAATTTGTATGTATGCACTGAGAGTGGAAGGATGACAGCAGCTGCAGCAAGGTGGACAGGTGAATCCTGGCAGGAGAAATACTCTGTGAGAAAGGGTGTGGGCAGAAGTAGCTGTATATGGGATGTCTAATGACTGGAATAAAGCATATATCTATTCCGCTTTTGCAGTATGCATGTATCCCTGTTCTGTGGCCTATTTGGGACAGACCCACAATTTTCCTGCACTCTGGCCAAAGAATCCCCTCAGTGCTCACTTATTTTCTATTCCCATCTGGTGGCTAGGAAATTCACCTCAGTGACAGCACTGATTTAATTTCTAATTGACTGTCAAAAGAGGAGCAAAGAATTGAGAATTTAGTCACAAACCACATACAGTTCACAACTGCAGAAATTCTCTGCAGATTTCAGCTCATTTTTGTGTAGTCCTTTCATAATATTTTAAAATTTCTTTTCAGTTTATTTATTTATGTGTTTAACACATAGAACAATCTTTTCCTTTCAATTCTGTTAAATGACTGTCTAGTCTGTAGTTACAGCTCTTAAAAAAAAAAAAAAAAACATTTTCTTTCCACAGCAGCCAGCCGTCAACAGTGATGGAGGACCCAGCTAAAACACCAAATATTTTCCTGAACTAAACTTTCTGGTTTGCAAATGTCACAAGATCAAGATTTCAAATGATTCTTAGTTTTGACCAGGTGGGAAATGTTGCTGTTTCTGCCAGCCAAGAGAGAAAACCAGAGAGTGCAGAGGCACATGATTTCATTTTAAAGTTAAGAAGAGGCACTGGTTTGGTTTGAGTTTTGGGTGAAGATTTAGGTCCTTCCTTAGAGTTACAAAACCTATTTGCCCATCCTATGTTGCTTCAAATTTGTTATAGGAATGTATATTTTGATCAAAGACATAAACAAGCATGTGAACTGACAAAGATGAATGCAAGCACAAATGATGACAAAGAATAGGAGATAATGTGTAAATATTACAAATAACTGGTTAATGGCCTCAATGATCCTGAGGTGCTGGTTAAAAATATCTGTTTCAGGCTTCTTATTTTCATTAATCTTGAGTAACTGTCAGATAAAGAGAAGAAGAGAAAGTAACAAGTTAGCGCTAAGTGTACAATTTAATCTAATAATAGAAATAACAATGTGATGATCCAGGTCATCTTATTTCTCTCCATCACATGGGGATTCTACCAATCAAAACTTACCAGTTTTACAAATAGAGAAAAAGTTAATGTAGCAACCTGCATGGAACCCAGAAGGATGGTCATGGGTTGCAGAAGAGAAGAGTTCGAAGAAGGGCTCCAGGCACTTAGCCTTTGTGTGTAGATGATTTGCATTGTTATGTGGCAGTTGGAGCAACTCTGTAAAAAGTGGCTTTACTAAAGAGCTAGGTTATTTTCAGTAAGAATAGAGTCCTCTCATTTTATTACCTAGCACTCAGCGAATGAACCAAACATATCACAAGGCAGGGCGCGAGGAGAGACAGCGCATGTGTGGGCCTAATGGACACTGGTACCGAAGATCTCCAATCGGCAGTGCAGGGATGCAGGCACACCTACAGTGGAGCACCCATAGGGACCCTACTCAAAGAAGAATACGAGGTTAGCAAGTACATTTTCAATCTGATATGTTTAGTATACCGAGTTGGGTTTTGACATTTGTTAAGCAAGACAAGACACAAATGCAATTTACTGCTACACCTTGAAGGAGGCAACCAGCTATTCTTTGTGCATTCAGCTGTATTTTGTCCATTATGAATATGAAATCCATGATTACACGTAATTATAATGACATCACCATCCCTATAATGTTCCTTTGAGGTCTGAATCTACCATTATCCACTCCTGGAGGATCACATACAATTTCTAACGAGAATGAGACAGACACATTTTACAAATGAAAATAGGCCAGTAAGCTGTACAATCCATCAGCAATTATTGTGATTTATCTCTGAATAAAACATATGGAAATTGCATAGGAGGGAACCTACTGTGCTCCCCCACTTTTACTGTAATGCTGTTTAAGAAGTTGCCAAATAGAATGTGGATGAACTGATTTTTAATTGAGCAATACGCATGCCAGAGCTGGTCAAAAATTTTCAGTCAAAGCTGTTGCTTTTAAAAGAGAAATGGGTCTTTTTCTAAACCAAATACTTTCACAGAAAAGTTTGGGTAGCTTGGTTTGAAATTTTTATTTGGAATTTTTCCAGTTTTTCATAAAAATTGGATATTTAAAATCATGTTTTTTCTACTCCCGTTTTCTTCTTTTTATTAGTAAATACAATAGAATGAACGGTGTCAAAGTCTTTTACCACCACTTTTTCTTTTTTCCATCTTTGGCTTTTCTACTCTGTAACTATTCCAAAGTTGGAGAAGTTTTCAAAATTTACAGAGTGGAAAAAGGAAAACGAGATAGGAAATCGCAGACACTATTCATATACTATTTGCAGTAAGATGCCAAAAAAAAAAAATGGGAGGGTGGATAGGAAAGGAAAACATTCAAAATTTTGAAATTAAATGTATATACTTTGTGAACAAAATGAAAAATTGCTCTATTTCAAACCCTGCAAAATGGTAAAACCAGCAGATGTCAACACTTTTCACAAAATTGCTTCTCCATTTTTCATCCAGCTCTGGCAGATTTGCTGCGTCAGGGCTGGTACCATAGAAATTAGAAGGACGTTGTGTTATTCTGTAGTTACAAATTGTTATACCCAGCAGGTGATTATACCATCTCTAGTTCTCCCAGCACTTTCATACCCAATAGCAACAAACCAAGCTCCAGGCACAAATTTCGTTTTCCCATTATAGACCCAAGTTGTGCTGTAAAGAAAGGCCTGAGTGGCTCTGACCTCTGTTTCTGAGAACGCTTCTGAGTATTGCCCTTAAATATTCTGCGAATGGATTCAGTAACATCTGAAATAGCCTTAGATACGCATAGTTACAAACAGTAACTCATTCACATTTTTTAAATTGTTGTGTGACAAATAAATGCCACTTGGTTGTTAAATTAACTCAGGGGTCAGAGTAGGGTAGGGCGAATCTGCCTCACAGTGTCTATTAGCCCCTGAAATGTAATCAGCTTAACCGAGCTGCCATCTGGAAGGCTTTAACATCTGCGTTGTAGTGATCAGAGCAAAGAAGCAGCTCTTTCACGTTCACTTATTCCTATCATTGCAGAGTGCCCTCTACTGAAAGCAGGATATTTGAGATACCCACTAGAGCCCGTCTCTACTTACCCTTGCATTCTGGATAGACAATTGCATTTCCATGGTACTGCACCATAAGATTGAGATAAATTAGTTGCAAGTGCATATCCTGGTTTGCAGCGAAGCTCAAGAAAATCATTACATTTTAGGTACACCCATTGTTCTCATTTGCTGTCCCATTCAACTCTACCATCCAGATTTCCATTTCTTCCACTGAAATAGCACATGGCTCTAAAACAAGAAAAAGAAGCAGTTGTCTTGGTAACCCCCCCCACACCCCCAGGTAAGCACATTAAAGTAATGTGTTTACACAGGTGATGAGTTTTGTTCAGTGAATCTCTAAATAAACCTCAAAGCCTAAGAAAGCAGTATCTTCTTTACCTAAACAGAGTGGTGCTTTTGTCCAATTCCCATTGTCACAAAAAGATCTGTTCTGTCGTTCCATTGCATAAATTTTTTTGGCATTTGAATTCTACAAAGGAGCCAGATGTGTATCCTTTTTCCAAGAATGTAGTTGTGTCTCCATTCTCAATAGTAGGTGGACGGCTATAGTTTTGTCCAGTTTCTAAAGGGAAAAAATAACAATTATAATAATCTTATGAAAAAATGGTTATGATGTAATTTTTTGGCTTTGGTACAGCATGTGGAAAATGGCTCCTTGTCCAAGGTTAGGGAAAACACTTGTAGAAACCTCATGTGGCTGAGCTAGGCACAATGACCAAAATACTAAGGGCCTTATCCTCAGCTCATGTAGATTAGTGTTACTTCACCTGAACACAATGGGGCTATGTCAGTTTACACCAGCTGAGGACGGGGCTCTGAATTTCTCTGGTTTTATTCACTTAATTCAGACACTAATTTTTACAGGGAATATATTTAGTTGTATATCTCGTATTTCGTACCTACCTTTCTCTTTCACACTCTCGATTATCCATATTTGTATTACATACAAAACACCATCAAAATCGATGTTAAAAGATCATTACGATTGCAAAGTAAAGCATTCAAAATACGTACATGCATTACATTAAAATCTTTAATAGCATGATCACACACTATTTTTCCTACAGGACCCCTGCCTCATTCAGTGCACAGACTGGCCAGTGCTCACTGAATGAGATGACTATTCAATATTTCTTTTCATCCTCATCTTTCTATGTTCAGCCCATTGCCTTATTGGCCTCATTACTCACAAATGCTAAAGGCAGGAGGAAGGCACTATGCAGCCCATCCCAAAAAAGTGCCACTAAATGTGAAGCTGCACAGTGTTTTCAGCTGTTAGAAGCAGTCCCAGAGAGATGGGTAAGTGGGCAAATGGCAGTTGATGCTGTCCAAAGCAGACACTTATCACATGGCTCTGCAGTTTAGCACATGGTCATCAAAACCACTATATATTTTCTATATATACAACAAAACTAAGCTAAAAGACTGTTAGGACTACTATATGAAGCATCCCAAAAGTTAAGAAATTCCAAAATTAAGGCTGCCTGTATAACCTTAACTTTGCCCCCTGTGTTTATACATTATGACTGGCCTTTAATGCATAATCATACTGTATTTTTTCTAGAGCAACCCGGCCTCATTCAGAGTGAAAGCTGAACAATGAATGAGGCAGTTGTTTAATACTAATTTTTGCTCACAGTGTTCAATGTGAGCTCTGTTTCATTCACTACACATTCTGCAGTGGTCTTGCGCACCCTGATTCATGCAGTAAAAAAACTTCTCATTCACCATCTAATCTACTCACTGAAGCAGAAATTCATCCAGGCACAGAGAAGCAACACAAGGTCTATGCACCATTTATGCCTTACCTTGTGCTGGCCCTCTGAACAGCAATGAATTGACCCTGAATGAGGCAAGAGCCCTGTGGAAAATACAGTATACCATCATTTAAGTAATGCCTCTAGAGGGTGATGCCTCATGAGTGATTATCTCTAATGTAAGGGGCAGGTATCACATTCTGTCTTATTATATGTGTGTGTGTGTGTGTATATATACACACATTTATTTTAACATTTAGAAATACCTCTTTTATTTTCCTTGTCAGCAATGTCAATTTTATAGTTGTAGTGAGAAATACTTTTAATCGATATCTTGATGAAGATAATGGGTCTGATACTCCACTCTCTTGCATCTTACAAAACACTTTCTACCCTGCAGAGAGAGAGAGTACAAAGCAGAATGGGCATGTTTTGCAGTGACTTACTACAGAGCAGGTAAATGGCTGCGCAAGATGAAGGACACTGAAAAATCAGGCTCTATCATTTTCATTTTTTCTGGTTTTTCTTTAGCACCGTGTAGCCTCACAAAACAGCAACTGGAGACCAAAAATCTGTTTCTGTCCAGTGGCCGAAGACATGCACAGCTGATTCAGAGTGACCACACACTGGAATTTATGTGCAGTGAAGGATATACCCTCACAACCCCTTCAGTCAGGAAGTGTGTTAATGGGCACATGGACTTGCCTTCATGTATCTGTGGTAAATCTGCACTGTATTTTGATAATTCAGTTTTTCAGTTTTATTTGATCTCTTGTGTACAGTCAATTAGGTGCATGTAGTGTGCTTAGTGTTCTGGACTGTGACACCTGTACTATTCTGTCTTACAGCTAGAAATGGCAGAAATATCATGTGGCTTTTCTTACTTTTGCTTTTAGAAAAAGACTCTTTTTCTGAGGCCTGGATGCTTGAAAAGTTTTTATTTTACATTTGAAAAACTACCTAAAAATCCCCCTTCGATTAATTACAAAGTTGCTGTCAGGAATAACTACTGCCCGTGAAAACTTAGAAGAGAGGAGTGGGTCAAAACAATATTTATAATTGAATTCTGTCTGAATGAAACAGTGTCATAAGTATGCACAGTACTTTACAGAGCTCAAACAAGGACAAGGTCCCTTCTCCAACGAGCTTACAGTCAAATTCAGACCATCACAATGCACAGGATAGCACTTCTGGTACCAGGACAGTAGGCTCAGAGACATTGGTCGTTAAAATGATGTAGAAAGTAACAGTGGAAGAGGTGAATTCTAAAGAGGGGGTCTGAAGTAGAGGATCCTTTCTGCACAGAGTGGGTGGCTTTCCCACTGTAGGGAGTATATTGATAGGAGGCGCAAAGTCACAAGAAGCTCACACTTCAATCACAATATAATTGCCAATCACACCTTCCGGGCACTCATGACTCATGCAGGTGGGTGAGAAGGGTTAAAAAAATATTCAGGGGGTTAGAATTTTGGTCTTGAGCCTCGTTCTTTGCTCCAGGCTCTAAGGGGCATGGTGGGCTGTGGTGTCAGCATGCTTAGCTCTTGGTTAGGATCTTGGCAGGACGGAGCAACTTGTGTTTCTCTGTAGCAAATCTTCAGACTCTGAGTCTGAGTCAGTGATAAGTGGGTGAATAATGACTTAGCATGAAGCCTTAGGGGCTTGGAATGAAACCCTGGTGCCATGAAAGTCAATGGCAAAACTCCTATTGACTTCTATGGGGTCAGGTTTTCACCCTTGGGTAGCAGCTGATGAGTTGGGAATGGAATTGCTTCAAGAGCAGTGAGAGGATACTTTAACGAAAAAAATGCCCAGTTGCTACATGCACTTAACCTTTTTGCCTTTAGGAAAGTGTTCTGTCAGTCATTTGGAAGATGGTAAATTTATATGTAACTATGGGAAAACCTACCAAGAAGGTGAGGACATTTCATGTGTGTGCGCTCATGAATATAGTCCTGAAAATCTGCACACCAAAGTTATATGCACAAAGAATGACTGGTCGCCTTCTCCAAGATGCATCCATAACAGTAAGCAGCATTTATGTTCTATTGTGTTCCTGTTTAAAAACTCGAGACATGTTACTATCTTGGTCTGCCTAAGATAAACACCAAAATACCAATTCTAGCAGGTGACTCGTCATGGCAATGTACATTTCTGACGTGAGCAACTGTGCGATCATATTGCTGTGATATTCACCCTTCCTCACCCAGTCGGTCCCTGCTGTTTGTCATCCCCCCTCATTGTGCTGTATCTAATACAGTAACTCCTCGCTTAACATTGTAGTTATGTTCTTGAAAAATGCGACTGTCATAAACATACAGCTAAGGGTAGCCTAGAATTCCTCCTTACCTGTAAGGGGTTAAGAAGCTCAAATAACCTGGTTGGCACCTGACCAAAAGGACCAATGGGGAAAGAAGATACTTTCAAATCTGGGAAGGGGAGGGGAGGCTTTGTTTGTGGTCTTTGTTTGTGTGTTCTCTGGGGGAAGCAGAGAAGCATCAGGTCAGAAAACTCCTTCTCCTAAAATCATCTTAACATGAGTCTCAATATTGCAAAAAGAGTAAGTAAATAATGCAAGGCGCGTTACCTTACCTTTTGTTTTTAGCTTGTGAATTTTCCCTGTGCTAAGAGGGAGGTTTATCCCTGTTCTTCTTTTTTTTTTTTTTTTTGGTAACTTTAAAGTTTTGCCTCGAGGGAATCCTCTGTGTTTTGAATCTGATTACCCTGTGAATTTACCTTCCATCCTGATTTTACAGAGGTGCTTCTTTTACTTTTTTTTCCTTTATAATAATGTTCTGTTTTTTTTAAGAATCCGATTTACCTATTTGGTTGGTATATTATTCTCAAGGCACCCCAGGAGAGGGAGTGAAGGGGCTTGGAGGGATATTTTAGGGAACAGGAACTCCAAGTGGTCCTTTTCCTGAATCTTTGTCTAACTCACTTGGTGGTGGCAGAAGTACCCATCCAAAGACAAGGAAGGATTTGTGCCTTGGGGAAGTTTTTAAACTAAGCTGGTAGAAATATGCTTGGGGGTCTTTCATGTGGGTCCCCACATCTGTACCCTCGAATTCAGAGTGGGGAGGGAACCTTGACAGCGACTTTAAGTGAAACAATGTTAAGTGAATCCAATTTCCCCATAAGAAGTAATGTACATAGTGTGGGATTAGGTTCCTCACACTCTACAAGGCAGCATGAATGGAGGAAAGGGAAACAGCATAGCAGACAGAGACAGACACCCTGTGTGAGAGAGAGAGATTGCCCCTTTAAGTAGGCTGACCCCACTCTAAGTACACTGCCTTTTTAAGTACAGTAACTCCTCACCTAAAGTCATCCCGGTTAACGTTGTTTTGTTGTTACGTTGCTAATCAATTAGAGAACATGCTCATTTAAAGTTGCGCAATGCTCCCTTATAATGTTGTTTGGCAGCCGCCTGCTTTGTTCACTGCTTGCAGGAAGAGCAGCCTGCTGGAGCGATCTGGTGGGGGATTGGAACCAGGGTGGACTGGCAGCCCCCATATCAGCTCGCCGCTCCCCTAAGTTCCCTGTGCGGCAGCTGCCCAGCAGGCTATCACCCGCCTGCAGTTCAGCTGTCCCTCCCCCCATTGCCATGTGTGGCTCCTGCCCTCTGCCTTGGAGCTGCTCCCCGGAGCCTCCTGCTTGCTGTACAGGAGGGGAAAGACGGGGGGCTAATGTCAGGGTGTCCCCTTCCCCTCTGCTCCTGCACCCCACTTACCCCATCTCCATGGGGGGGGAGGTGACACGACAGGGCTCAGGACTGAGGGAGCTTCCTGGGACCAGCTGCTGTATCAACTTGCTGATCTACTTAAAAAGGCAGTGTACTTAGAGTGGGCAATCTCTCTCTCGCACACAGGGTGTATGTCTCTGTCTCTGTCTGCCATGCTGTCTCCCCTCCCTTCATTCATGCTGCCTTATAGAGTGTGAGGAACTCAAACCCCCCCACCCCCCATTTACATTAATTCTTATGGGGAAATTGGATTCGTTTAACATCATTTCGCTTAAAGTCGCATTTTTCAGGAACATAACTACAACATTAAGCGAGGAGTTACTGTATTTGGTAAATACAGGGAAAAAACTATCAAAAGTGTGCATTGTGCAACTGACACCTTTGAAATGAATTACCTTGTATTTTTTTTAGCAGGGCTTCATTATTTTAGTTCTCAGAAAACAATTATTTAATAGATCAGGGTAGAGAGCAGCAATTAATTGCTCGGTTGCCTTATTTGTCATGCTGGAGGAACACCACATATTAGAAAATAATTAGCCTCAATAGGTCCAGAGATTCCAGGGAGTGAAGGATAAGGAACTGCAAAACACATCCTCACTAAGTAAAAGTAGCATTTACTTCCTGAGTGCTCACTCAGGTCCTGAAGAAGGCAAAATAGCCACCAGTTGGTGTGGATTATCCTGGACCAACTCAGTTTGTATTCCCAGAGGTAATTACCTTTTTCATAAATTCCTCATACTTTTTGTAATCGTCTAGAACAGGGGAAGATAATTCTGAAACAGCAGCCTCATCTGGCAATAATGAAGCATTGAGTGAAAGCATTAAATATTCCATCTGCTCCACTGTCTGCTGAGCATCCATAGCTGGAGGACCAGAAACTGGAGAGAGAAATTCTTTCAGCTGCTGTGTAATGGTTCTGGTACACAGAACAGTGCCAGCTAGAGAATGGCACCCTGATAGAGACCTAGCAGAGTGCTGACTATGTGAATATCACATGGAGCCTGGAGAAACACTTCCTAGATTCAAGAAAGTCCACCGCTGTACTTGATGTAGTACCATGGCCCAACTCCAAAGGAAGCTATGTCGAGATCTGCTCATGTAAGAGTCCTGGTGCCAGCACATTAACTTGCACAATAAGGAATCCTGAGATGCTTCAGATCTCCTGTAAGAAGATCTCAATATGTAGGATCTCACTTCTAGTCTGAAGAAGAGTCAGCACTGGAATGCCAAGGTGGCATGGTACTGAGTGGAGAAGATGAACTGCAGGACCTGGACCCACGTAAGATGGACAGTACCAGAGAAAGCACTGAGGCTTTCCTGATGAAGGGACTTGCTGGAAAATAGAGCTTCAAGACTGGTCTTCCCTCTTTCTCTGCTTGGCTAGAGCTCAGGACTTGCAGTGACATTCCCCTCTTCCAGTGACAGGAAAATCAGCAGCAGGAAGTCAGCTGTAGGATTTCTTTCCAGTACTCTATCCAGCTGATGATCTGGGTTGGCTCCTCCCCTGATCAATCAGACCTTGTGGAGATAGGGCTTTCCCTAGTCTGGGGAGTGACTGCTCCACACTGCACTATTGACCTCACTCCTAGGAGAGGCCATAGAAGCAGTTTGGGTGCAAGGTTGTCCATCACTCAAAAGCTCAGCTACAACTTCGAGTTCTAATCTGTTCTAATTCAAAAACCCTGCTTAACGTCCCAGAGAGAGAATGGGACATATTCTGCCTCCTAATTGCTGTGCTTGTGAGCATCCCAGATGGCTGATGCCTGCAACTAGATAGGGCCTCTTGTGCTAATTGAGCTAACAAATTAACCATAAAAAGCGAGTAAAAAAAATCATAAAATGTCACAATAACCTAGATCAGGGGTTCTCAACCTTTTTCATTCTGAGGCCCACTCCAATAGGCTATAAAAACTCCATGGCCCACTGTAATGCTACATCCCGTGGTCTTCATAGACATATACTTATGACATGAATATGGCATAACTAAGTTGTATTTGATGCAAGATGGGTCTTGTGAGATATCCTTGGAAAGGTTCTGATTTAACCAAATATGACTATCCTATTTGTATGCATGTATCATTGCTGTATCTGAAATTAGGAATATAAACTCTGTATCAATTGCAAAATTGTTTGCACCTGGGAAATGCCCATCGGACAATAGGCAATCAGCCTGAATGGGCCATTAGGAAGAACAATAAGACTTTGAAGATACTAATCTCCCACCTTCCTGAGAAGCTTCCTGAGTTGCTGCTTGGACACTACAGGGTCAGGTTGTCGTGTCACCTGATACTAGACTTCCATCTTGGGCTTTCAGTGTTTTTCCATTAAGAGGGGATGGAGGAGTCAGACTGGGAAACAAAAGATTCCCGCTATATGTAAATTCTATTTAAGGCTGGTGAGTGAGTTAATCAAGGTCACTGGTTCTTTACTGAATCCCTGTCCAGGATGACTGCTGGAAACACTTAAGACTGATCTGGGGAGAAGAATGGGGATCCAGGCTGAGAAAGGTCAGCCTATGACGGGTATACCTGGAGATTTGAGCTGCAAGCGGTGCAGTTTACCTTCAAGAAACTCTGCAGCCTGCATAAAACAACATTTAGGGTGAGAAATTAATTTTTGTAGCCAATTTCTTTTATGTTATCAAGCCTAGTCTGCGTGTTTTGTTTTATTTGCTCAGTAATCTGCTTTGATCTGTTTGCTATCCCTTATAATCACTTTAAATTTACCTTTTTAGTAAATAAACTTCTTTTTTGTTTATTTCAAAACCCAGTTTGTGCAATTCATGAGGGAGGGGCAAAAAGCTGTGCGTTGAGCAGGGGGTGTGGGGTGTGATTTTTATGAGTGTGTGCTGTACAGATCTCTCTATACAGTGCAAGACAATATTATTTTGGGCTTACACCACAAAGGAGGTTTGCACGTGAGTGCTGGGTAGATCCCCGAGCTGAATCCACCCTCACAGAGCTGATTTCAGGCTGTGTCTGCAGTTGGGTGTGGCCACACTTGTGTGTGCTAGAGAAGGCTTGAGGGCCTGGAACAGCAATGACAGCGTTAGGAAGCCCAGGTTGGTGGAACGGGTGGGCTCAGTGGGACCCAAATATATCAGGTGGTACCCCAGAAAGGGGGGTCTAACCGTCACACCCAGCTGTGCCAAAACTACTGGTTTTCTGCATACAAAAGCCAGAGCTGGCATTGGGGGGGAGCAAGCAGGGCAATTGCCTGGGGCCCCATGCCACAGGGCCCCTCATGAAGCTAAGCTGCTCAGGCTGTGGCTTCAACCCTGGATGACAGGGCTCAGGGCCCCAGGCTTCAGCTCCATGCAGTGGGTCTTTGGCTTTGTGCCCCAAACTCCAGCAAGTCTAACACTAGCCCTACTTGAAGGACCCCCTGAAATGTGCTTGCAGCACCACCCCCTGCCCCCCCGCAGGGGGACCCAGACTCCTGGTTGAGAACCCCTGACCAAGATAACAAATGCTGATAGGAAAAAATACAAAAGGGAACCAGAAAGACTAATGTAGTCCAAACAATATGCCCTGCCCCATGAAACATGATCTCCTGAAATCAGCCGGGCTGGGGAGGGACAGGACTTCTCCTTCCCCTGCATGGCTGTTAAGGGGAGAGATCAGACCCACCTCCACAGGCAGCGCAGAAGTGAGGGTGATACACTGAGCTCCAGACTGCCACCCCACATGGCTCCTGCTGGGGCTGAGGGCACCCGGGCTCCAGACGGGACTTGGGGCTTTCACCCCCTGGAACTCCTGCCTGGGCTCAGGGACCTGGGCTGGGGGCTGCCATCTCTCGTAGCTCCAGTCCCTGCAGCTCCTGCCTGGGCTCAGGATTGCTGGCCCCCACCACCACCTCCCCCTGGCTCCAGCTGGGGTTTGGGGCAGCCGGGCTCTGGGCTGCTGTCCCTGATAACTCCTGCTGGGCGCCAGGGCACCCAGGCTCAGGGCTTCTGCCGCCCCACCAGCTCCTGCTGGAGCTCAGAGCTTCCACCCTGTGGCTCCTGCCAGGCCTGGGGCACCCATTTTTCAAATTGTCCAGGGCATGGGCAACCTCCCTACTACAGAGGGTGTGTGTGTGTGAGAGAGAGAGAGAGAGGCGCTCACGTTTTATGGAGATTTATCTTTGTTTTGTTAAGGACAATTAATGCAAAAACTTCTGTGTACCTGTTTATAGCCATTCATGTGTCCTGCCACCAGAGGGTCATGGACAGTGTAATGACTGTGCACATGCCCTGACGGGACTGACCAATACATTCATATCTGTACTTCAGAGACAGGGAAAGCTCACCAAATGTATGCAAAGTTGTTAGCAGCTTCTTGACTTTATTATTGTTTATTTGATAACTAATCTTCCCCTTATGCTTTCCCTTTCCCTGCTTTGCACAGTGTATTTTGCATGATCCCTAACTGGTTGATTCCTTCCAGGAGAATCTTGTATAGGTCTTATATTGCAGACTGTCATTGAACTCAGTGTCACACCATTTTCCACCTGCCTGCTTGAAGCTCTTCTCAAAGCAATTCCACTGCTTAATGATATCTGACACTATTGTCAGGGAATAGACAATGCCAAACTGAAGCCAGTATGCCTGTCACTGACAGGACCAGAATCTGTTCAACCTTGTATTTAGCTGTGACACTGAGTACCTTCCCCAGAACTGAGGAAGAGCTCATTGTGGCTCAAAAACTTCCCTCTCTCTCTCCCCCTCCAATAGAACTTGGTCTAATAAAAGATATTACCTCACGCACCTCATCTTGCGGAGATCCAGACCAAGGGTCCATCTAGTCCAGTATCCGGTCTTCCAACAGTGGCCAATACCAGGTTCTTCAGAGGGAATGAACAGAACAGGTAATCATCTAGTAACCCATCCCTTGCAGCCTGTTCCCAGCTTCTGGCAAAGAGAGGCTAGGCACACTTCAGAGCATGGTTTTGCATCTGTGCCCATCCTGGCTAATAGCAATTGGTGGCCTTATCCTCCATGAATTTATCAAGTTCCTTTTGGAACCCTGTTATAATCTTAGTCTTTACAACATCCTCTGGCAAACAGTTCCACAGGTTCACCCCGGGTGTGTCTGTGTGTGTGTTGTATGAAGAAATACTTCCTTTTTTCTTGTTTGTTCTAAACCTGCTTCCTATTAATTTCACTTGGTGACCCCTAGTTCTTGTGTTATGAGGAGGAATAAAGAATACTCCACACCAGTCATTATTGTGTAGATCTCAATCATATCCCCCCCTTAGCTGTTTCTTTTCCAAGCTGAAAAGTCCTGGTTTTACAAATCTCTCCTCATATGGAAGCTGTTCCATATCCTGAATCATTTTTGTTACCCCTTTCTGTACCTTTTCCAATTCCAGTATATATATATTTTTAGATGGGGTGACCAGATCTGCATCAAGATGTGGGTGTACCATAGATTTAAATAGAGGCAATATGGTATTTTCTGTCTTATCTATCCCTTTTCTTATGATTCCCCACATTCCATTATCTTTATTGACTGCCGCTGCACATTGAGTGGATGTTGAGAACTATCCACAATGACTCCAAGATCTTTCTTGAGTGGTAACAGCTAATTTAGACCCCATCATTTTATGTGTAGGTGGGATTATGTTTTCCAATGTGCATTACTTTGCATTTATCAACATTCAGTTCCATCTGCCATTTTGTTGCCCAGTCACCCACGTTTCTGAGACTCTCTCAGATGTGGGAGTCCCAAGCTGAAGTCCCCGTTCTAATGAATTTTTTAGTTAGTTGGGCAGACAAAGTGGAACAGCTACAATTGGAGACTTGAGAAAGACATATACCAGAATAACCGATTGCCTAGTAGTTAGTGAATCACCTGCATGACCTGACTTCAAGTCTCTGCTCCGCACCAAGCTTTGGACTTAGGTCTCTACCTGTGTGTGCGCGTGTGTATGCACACACACCATAGGGTACAATGGCACCACCACCTAGTGGTGTGTATTTTATGAGAAAGAGCTGACCTGACTTAGGTGCTTAACTCCAGGAAAGCGTTCACAACTGTGTATCCTGAGTGGAGAAAAGTGCTCTCAACTGCCACTGAGGGTTAAAGCTTAGGCCACAGCCTTGTCCTTGGCATTCCCTACTGTCTAGCTTAGGTGCCCTCTTGCTCAACCTCCTGGCTTTTGTGAATCCCAGTCTAAAGATATATACATTTGAGGTGTGGCGCCCAGCTCCTATGTATGTACCCACACTAACTCAGTCCAACCTAGCACCTAAAAGTAGCCGGTGGTGCTGCAGCACGGGCAATAGCTTGGGCTCGCCACCCAGGTAGGTAGCGGAGAGTCTGGTGGGGTTGTACGCACAGAAGCTAGGCCAAGCTGGTGCTGGTGCCTGTGCAGGGCAGGTATGTCTATAGAAGCGGGGAATCCCACCTCCAAGCTCAAACATAGATGTACCCTACGGTGACTGACTTTCCCCGTGCATTGAATAGGGAGCCTGGGTGACTAAATTTGGACTGTGGATTCCACTAGGAGAATCAGTAACATAAGTGCTACAGGCAGTCTTGCAATAATGTGAAAAACTTCAACATTCACATAATTTTGGGGAAAATACATGACCAGGTTTTTTTTTTCAGCTTTTATAGTGTACATGTGCTTATTTGTGTATGCCACAGGTCCAGAACTTGATCCATTCCCTACATATAGCATCCCCTCAATATTCACTTTACCTTCATTTATTTGTCTGTGTGGATTCTGATAATGATTCATCTCTGTCACAGCACTAGCCTAATTTCCAGTTTATTGCATACAGTGGAAAATAGGAACAGAGAATTTATTCACACACTGCCAAATGCATGTATCATGTTGCTATTTAAATTAGCTGCAGGCTTTCATCTTTGTCTCCATTTTTCTACAAATCCTAAGATTCCTTCCCTCTTTACTTCAGATTATGGTGTTAATAAAAAAAAACCAAAAAAGTACAAATAACAAACTTTTTAAGAGTGGTAAATGAAACATACAAATCTTTAGTTTTATAAAGGAAAAATAATTAAGACACTATGAGTTTAAACTTTAACCAGAGAAGTCAATGTTTTCTGTACAACTGTGCTAGATGACAGGATCATTTTTTGGTTGCATGGACTAAAACGTTTGGAAAAATGATCACCAACAGTGAATACCAATGGGCAGAATTCAAAAAAGCCTCCATGCGTATCCCAAACTTTCTGGTGTGGTGATTGGGCTAAAAATCTCTCAAGATTAAGGTTTCTAACGAGACTTTCTGGAGTTCCTTATTTGGGCCAGAGGGAAATACCGGTGCTTTCTGTTTCAGCAAGCAGGAAGTGTGTAATTCAGGATGTGCAGATGTGTACAATTTCCCTCAAGTTTCCTTTTCCAAATAGCATAAAAAGCTGTAGTTTGATCTGAGTTTGAACTTATTTTCCCATCTGTTATTATTTTATGAGTGTATATTTTAAACCATTGTGACCAATGATAAAAAAAGGGACTGAACTGATACATGTAATCAATTTAAGCTAAAATACTGACAAAGGACATAATGTGTGAACATTACAAATAACCGGTCAAAGGATTTTGAGCCTCAGATCTGAGTAAAAATTATCTGCTTGGTGCTTCATTTTATTCATCCTGAAGTATCTGTCAGAGAGAGAACAAACAGCAGAAAATCAGTTTAGTACATGTCAATTTTTTTTAAACAAATATTACGTACAAATCCCCTATGGATTGCACAGGAACAGACTATTGATTTCAACAGAATGGCATAAAACTCATACTGGATGGCTTTAATCTTTTTTGGAAAGGAAATGGGAACAAACTCCATCAAATGTTGTTGCAGTTACCCCTGAACAGCAGTGGTTCAACTACTTTTCATATTAAAAACTATGACTTATTTTAAAGTGGAACTTAAAGGTAGCACAGAAAACCATACATTGATTTACTACATATTACTGTATTTTATCAGTATCCATGGTGTAGTTATTAGCATTTGAAAGTGATGGAATTTTTGGAACAGGGATCTTGAACCTGTTTCGTTCCACTGCTTCTTATCAGCTGCTTCCAGCCAGCCTTCTTCATACGTATGCAGGAATTATTTGCTTCTGTTCCCATAATGCTATAAAGGTGGTGTCATTTCTCACACAAAAGGTTTACAAAAGGTGATGTGGGAATTGCCACAATGATATAGTTATCCTAATATGGGAAGAAGATCAGCAATTATGATTCTTCTTTATCAGAAGATAGGAGAACTAGAACAATGTAAGACAATAGATTTTTTTCCATCAATAGTATTGTTGTACTGGAGATACAGTAGGTTGCAGTAAGCAGGTCTGATCTATGGGCAGTCACAGACCTCAGTGAAACTGATGGGCATGAAACTCATCTTTCATTCAGGCGAAATGAGGAAACAGTTACATGCCCCTTTGTCTAGTGATAGCTGGCACAATGGAAACCACTGCCCATGGACTAGACCATATGCAAGGCCTGAGAAAAGGCTAGAGCAATTCTGGTTGAATGGTTTCTCTAGGGATTGACAATAGGAGGGCCAGGGATTAAATGAGGGATGGAGAAAGGGAGTGTGCGCGCACGTGTGATGTGTGAGTGTGCCAGAAAGCTATGGAGAGACAGCAATAGAAGTACTGGTGTGGCCCTGACAGAAAAGATCTTTTTGGTCAGATGGGTGAATATAAAGGTAGGCTTGGAATTATGAGCAAGGAAACTGCTTCCTGTTGTCTGATCCAACCATTCAGAGAAACAGGACTTTGTGTCCATTCTTTGTAAATAAAAAAGGCTGTATCATGGAACTACTTGACACAACACCAATTTTTTTCCTTTCAACATAAAAAAAGGTGGAAGACCCTGAATATTGGCGAAAGGCTTAGGCTAAAAAGCACAAAGTCAAAGATGGCCAAAAGGAATTAAAACAGCACCTAAAACAGGAGCTGGAGACTTTGCAAAAGATGTTGAAGCAACAGTGGGAGGTTTACCAGAAAGGACTGAGAGATGACATGCAGTCTAAGGACGTGGCTACACTAGTAGTTATGTTGCTAAGATTTTGTTGCTCGGGTGTGGAAAAAATACTCCTCGACCAACAGAACTTTTGTCATCATAAGCGCATTCATGCACAGCGTGATGTCAACAAGAGATCTCACTGCGCTGGTTTGATTATGTCAACAGGAGAGCTCTCTTCCATCGGCATAACAAGGCTACACGAGCCCTCTGACACCGGCACAGCTGTATTGGTACAACTGTGCCGCTGTCAGCTTGTAAGTATAGACATGGCCTAAATCTTTCTTCAGGCAGCAGCTACAAAGTATCTGGGCAGACTGAGAAGGCCAGCTGCAACACTCCCACTCTGGACCAACAAGGCAGATAAATGAGGTGACAAGCAAACTGACTCCCATGGATCAGAAGGTTTCAGAGTGGTAGCCATATTAGTCTGTATCAGTAAAAACAATGAGAAGTCCTTGTGGCACCTTGGAGATGAACAAATTTATTTGGGCATAGGGAGTTCCCGGCCAATGGGAGCTGCAGAGGCAGCGCTTGGGGCAGGGGCAGTGTGCAGAGCCCCCTGGCTGCCCCTAGGCATAGGAGCCTGAGGGGGGATATATCATCTGCTTCCCAGGAGCAGCGCTGAGGCTAGCAGGGAGTCTGCCAGCCCCGCTACACGGTGCCGTCAACTGGACAGTCAATAGCCAAGCTGCCAGACTGGACAACTGGATAGTCAGGACAACTGTCCAGACTGGACAACTGGATAGTCAATAGCCAAGCTGCCAGAATCCCTTTTCGACCAGATGTTCTGGTCAAAAAGCCCCATACCTGGTCACCCTACGTACAAGCAGGGGTGATGAACAGCCGGCAGGGGCTGGGTGACAAATTTGGAATACAATTGCACAGTTACTCAGGTCAGAAATGTGCATTGTTGTGACAAGTCACCTGCTAGGATTGATATTTTTGTATTTATTTCAGGCAGATGATTCTAGTAATATGTCTACAAGTTTTTTAACCAGCTGCTCAATAGAACATGACTGTTGCTTACTGTTAGGAGGTACATCTTGGAGTAGGTGACCAGCCATTCTTTGTGCATGTAACTTTGGCCTGCAGATTTTCGGGAAAACACACATATGAAATTTCATCACGTTCTTTGTAGGTGGTCCAAGAGTTAAATATAAATTTACCATTTTCCAAATGACCAGGAGAACACTTTTCTAAAGAAAAAAAAAAGATTAAGTTCAGTTAGCAAATGGAAATCAGACATTTAACAAAGAAAAACCAAACCAAAACAAATTACCCTTTTCAAATCTAGCTATTTATTTGAAAAAAAAATCTTTCAAATAAGACCTTCTTGCTGCATAGTACTGTAGTACTTTATACTGAAAAGACCTTTATTTTCAAACGTGAATCAAAGAGCTTGATTTTTTCCACTGGCCTGAACCTTATGATATCAACTGTGCAGAGCTGTAAACAATTACACAAGATGCAAGGCAGTGAAGAATCAGGTCACATGGGCCAGATTCTCAATTGGTGCAAAACAGCAAGCTCCATCAACCTCATTGGAACTACACTGATTTACACCAGCCAAAAAATCTTGCCCAATATGTTTAAGTAGTGGCGTCTGCACACATTCATTTACAGCAGCGGACATTATCAATCATATTATTCCCTCAAGGTATTTTATTGACAGGTATCACTATGATGTTCATTGAATCTGATTATTAAAACAAAAAGCATCTTTACAGAATCCAAATGATACAGGTACTGAAACACCAACATGTAGGGAAATAGATACCATTGCTGTTGATTCAGTTTGTGTTCAGGCTCAGGCCCTAGCTGAAAAGTTCCATTAATACAAAATAAAAACCAAAGTCAGGTGTAATGGGATTGTTTAAATCATGCCATTGTAATGGAAATCATATAATCAGCCCAGGATAAACAAGGTGACAGGAGAGGGCCAACAGCCAAAGGAAGTCTCTCTTACTTTCCTTCTCCCCATGCTCAGTCACTGGACTACCGTGATGAAGTGTAAAGGTAACTGTGTTAAGCCCTCCAAACTAAATTCATGTTTGTTTCATGCAGCAGATTGAAATGTATTATTCAGACAGGTTTGGGTTTGGGCTCTTGTTAGGGTTGCCAATTTTGGTTGGTCGTATTCCTGGAGGTTTCATCAGATGACATACTCTTCAATTAAAAATTAATCTTTAATACCTATAGACTCCATGGCAATCCTGGAGGGCAACCCTGGCTCTTATTCCTGCCACATTGTGAGACCTGATTTTTTTTTTCTTCCCTTCCCAATATTATCTAGCAGCATAACATGGTGCTCTTGGCCAGTGGCATTTTTCCCTTTCATCTGAGCTCTCTGGGAGATCTACCATTTCCCACTCATTAGTTATCACCTAACGATCAAACTCTGAACCTGGTGAACTCAATGGCAGTTTTGTCATTGATCTCAGTGGAGGCAGGATTTTCCCGAAGGCCTTAAGGCCTCATGGTAAATTACTGTGGATCCCATTACCACTAACTCAGATTAAGCCAGGAGTTTTGCTACAGAGCAAGTTGCTCCCTCCTGCCAAGGGCTAAAGATGCTGCCTTCACAGCTCACTAAGCCTCTGACAGCCTAGGAGCAAAGAACAAGGTTCGCTTTCAAAATTCTGATTCCCTGAATATTTTTTAACTTTTTTCCACCCACTTCCATGAGCTATGAATGCCAGGAAAGTGTGACTGGCAATTCCAGTGTGATTGAACTTGTGGAGTACTTGTAACTTTACATTTTCTGTCAGGACACTGCCTATACTCGGAAAGCCTCCCACTGTGTGTACCAACTGTCCTTCTGCTTAGATCCCTCATTAAAAATAATTTGCCATAAGAGTCTCTGTCGTTTAACCTTGTACTAGAATTGTCATCCTGTGTAATATGTTAGTCTGAATTCAACTGCAAGATGTTTGGAAAAGTAACTGTTCTTTTTTGTGCTTTGTGAAGTCCTATGCACTGTTTTATTCACAACTCCACACTTAAAGTTGTGATGAAAATATTTCCATTACAAGCATTGTTTGGACCCACTCCTCTCTTTTTACTTTTCATGGGAAGTAGCTTTTTCAAGGAGAAATTTTATAACTAACATAAGGCGGGTTCCCTGTCCTCCTCCCACTCTCCAAGAGTGGGATAAACATTTTCAAACACCTAGATGTAAAAAGTGAGCCCTTTGTTAAAAGTAAAAATAAATAAATATATAAATAAATTAAATCAGATCAAAAAGACACAAAACCCCTTCACAATATTCCTGCCACTTCTAACTTGAAAATAAAACAAGCTACAAACTGAAAAAATCATACATAGGCAGATATTTATACATCCTCATGCCTACTTGTTAGAATTTCAGTTTTCATACTAATATGTCATTGATTGTGTTCACCCCAACCAGACGACCCTGGGCTTCAGAGCCCAAGCTCCAGACTCAGCTGTAATCTCTATACAGGTATCTTTACTGTGGCAGTGCAACCTCTGCAAGCCCAAATCTCTTGCTACAAACTTGGATATTCTCTGCCAGGGACTGTGTAGACGTACCTTTTGAGGGGACATGAAAACAGCTGGTCAGACAATAGGACATTCACAGGTGCTCCATGAAAATTTATACATAATAGATGGATAAGACTCATAGATTATAGTTTTCTTCAACTGGCATTCAACATTTTCCACTTAAAATAGAAAGAATCTGGCTTTGTGCACTAATCTAGCTAATGCCCAGGCTTTCTCAAAGACTTTGTGGACTCTTAGGATTCTCTGCCTCTCCAGCTCTGCTCCCCAACCTCTCATTACCCCAATTAGTTACCCCTCCCACCAGAATCAGTCTCCAGCTACCCAGACTATATACATCATCTGTGTGTGTGTGTGTTTCAAAAGGTTGATTGAGAATATTTGACCTGGTAGAGTATGGGTGTGCCCGGAGTCGGGGAACAAGATTTCTTTTGTTTCAGATTGTAATAGCATATTCAACATTTCAAAATGTCCCTAATGACCTTTCCCAACCCTTCTGGGGGGAGAGGGGTGGTCATGACCCTCTGGTTGAGAAATCCTGGCCTAGTAGTTAGGGCACAGAGGCTGGACTGGAGAGTGAGGAGTAAGGGGGATGCAGCCCCAAGCCTCTCCTTTCCTGGGGGGCTGCTAATCCTTGAAATATACATTATAAAAGGGAGATTTTGATCATACTTGTGCTAATACTAAAAAGAAAAGAACAAAAAAACTAATTTATGCACCCTGCTGCTATTGATTTTGTCCCAATTTCTTAAGCTTTCACAGTTAAAGTTTAATTAATGTTTTTAGACTTTGAATTGTTGGTAATGAGGAGTTACCTGCGAATTAGCGGTGTTAATTGCCATTGCTGGGTGCTAATGACAGAACTGCAGTATTGTTTTAACCTTGCATAAACAAGATGTCCAGTTGACCATTTCAAAGCAGAGCAGCAAAAAGGAAAGCTAAGTTAGAAAGAGAATATTGTAAGCAAGTTACCCAAACTTGCTAACTATTTTCTGTTAGTACTGCTTCAGAATTATCTCCCATGATGGTGGATCATCTCTCTTAGAAAATGATAATCAAAGCAAAGATATGAGTATGAACTTGTTCCCTCAGGAGACTTCAGAAGAAAAGGCAAGCATTCCTGAAATCAAGGATAAAACTAATGATGAAAGAGATGACCCACTTTTTCTAACACCTGTCCATACAGAAGGTAGAATGAATAGTAGTGATAAAGAGGATGATGTTGCTGGTAGCGTTGAACAAAATCTGGCTAAATTTGATAATGGAAGAGTTTTGTACTACATGTATTGAGAAAGGACTGTTCTATTTTCAGAATCGCAATGACAAAGTTATAGTTTCTGAGTGTCAATACAAATGTCAGAAATGGTATCTTTCACCTCTTCTTTTTAAATGAAAACTACCAAATGGAGAGCATCATCAGAGGCATTGGTTGAAGCATTCTAAATCCACAGAAGCAGTATTCTGTTTTATGTGAAAACTCTTCATTGCCTAATAATCTTAGCACCTTCATAACCCCAGGCTTTTCCAACTGAAAAAAGCAGAGGAGAAGACTTGCTCTCATGAAAACAGTGTGGAACATTGCGACGCCATAGCTGCATGGCTAGCATGTTCACAAGGCAAGAATCACATTGACAGGGAGAGGGTACAGCTGTGTCTAACACAAACTGCTTACTGGGAAGACATTTTAAGGCATATCATGACAGTTATTAAGCTTCTTGCTGAACGTGGTTTAGCAGTTAGAGGAACGGAGGAAGTTATTGGCTTTCCTCAGAATGGAAATTATCTAGATATTCTTGAAGCCATCATCAAATTTGACCAGTTTGTAAGACAGCATATTAAACACTGTGGAAACAAAGAGAAAGGTCACCCATCCTACTTGTCGAAAACAAACTGTGATGCGTTCATTGGGCTATTGGGACATGAGGTTTTGGAATTCATTGTAACTGAAGTCAAACAGGCAAAATACTACTTTTTGATAGTAGATTCAACTCCTGATATTGCCCATGAAAATCAGTTCTCTGTCATTTTATGCTACTACTTACGTGGCGCCATAAGAGAGGATTTAATTGGGTTTATACCAACTGAAAGCCAGATGGGCAAGTTGCTCTTTGAGATCATGAACAGTTTATTGGATGCAAATAACAATGCTATTGAAAACTCCAGAGATCAGTCATACAATAACACAAGTAACATGTCTGAAAAGTATGAAGATTTTCAAGCTTATATCAAAAAAGAGTAAACCCACTAGCTGTGTACGTGCCATGCACAGCTCTTCTCTGAACTTAGCTGGAACTTGCAGTGTTGATTGTTGCATGGAAGCCATAAACATTTCAGTTTTGTTCAGAACGTATCTTTTTTGTGTCATTGTCCAGGCGATGGAAGCTTCTACGAAACAGTCTTATCAAAAGGAAACAAAGACCTCTCCCCTTGTCCTAAAAACCCTGTCAGGTATGAGATGGTCCTGTCATGCTGAATGCTGTAAAACAATTGTAGTGAAATATGAAGGCATTCAAAGTTGTTTGAAAGAAATGATGGACAATGCTGAGGAAAATGGTGAAACTCAGAGGAGAGCACAATTGTACAAGAAAGCGTGCAGCATGGAGACTGCTTTTATTAGTATTTTATGGAATGTTATACAAGAAAGGTTTGACAAAACTAGTGTACAGCTTCAAAAGCCAGGTCTGAATCTTCTTGTTCCTGTCAATTTTCTGACTTTCTTTGCAAACATTTGTCACAAGCTTACAAGTCTCACTTTGATGATTTTGAGGAGCAAGCAAAACAATTAGGAGGTTATGCTGATAAGTCCAACCACGAAGTACACAAACATACTCTAAAGCAAAAATTTCCTGATGGCAGAAGTGACACTGCTTTGAGGGAAAGGGAAATTCAAGGTTGACTGCTTTTGTGTTATCCTCCATAAGCTACGTTCAGAACTAAAAAGAAGAAGTTAATGGTATACTAATTATCCACAAGGTTTGGTTTGCTTACATTTCTTGATCAAATAAAGTGACGCGAACTACAGGAGAGATGAAAACATGCACTCACACATTTCTCAGTGCTTACCTGAATGATCTAGAACCTGAGCTTTTCACCAAATGACAAATATCTGAGCAATGTTTTCATGAATATTTACATTGCATTGAGACTGTATTTGACTATACCTATTTTCAGCTGTGAAGCAGAGTGATCATTATCTAAGCTTGCCTTTAAAAATGTTGTCTTCAGTCAACTATGGCAGAAACAAAGTTTAATGCTCTGGCTACTATGTCAATTGAATGAGATTTATTTCAAACACTGGCATTTCAAGATGCAATAACTGAATTTGCAGCACTTAAAATTTGCAAGATGCCTGTCTAAATACACAGCATTTCATTTGACTCTTAATTTTCCATATTTTTATGTTTCTCCAGGTAGTTTATTCTGTTCATTGTCTTTGATTTTCTTTTCATGATTATTCAGTAATATACATGATTTGTTGGTTGTCAAAAGCAGGGTACTTTTTTTGCTTTTATTAATACTGTGTTCATAAATGAGTGGGGCTTCCACTCATTAATCTGGCCAATAGGAGAGTTGGGTTTTATTCCTGGCTCTGACACTAACTTGTGTGAATGTTGGCAAGTCATAACACCTTTCTGTGTCTTTCTCTTCCACCTTTTTCCTGTTTTGTTTATTTAGATTGCAAGCTGTTTGAGGGAGGGACTGTTTCTTATTGTGTCAGTACAAAGTGATGGGGATCCAATCTTGGTTATGCCTCAACTCACTACTGGAATACAACCAAACATTATTATTATTATTATTATTAATTTCCAGGAAAAGTAAAAATGATTTCTGTAGAATTTTTGTGTGTGTATCTGAAGTACTACACACAATTGTTCATTATGATAGTAATGGTTGATGGTTTTATTTGAAGAACATAATTTTATGACCTTATGTAAGATTGAGAATTAGGCTATGTTTATACATAAGCTATATATCTAATATTTGTCTAGTTAGGGGTATACAGATTATTATTTGTATGATATTGATGTACCATACAATTTTTACAAGAGCCTACATCCCATTGTCACAACTGAGTTGTTAAAGTTTCTTTCATTTGTAGTTTTGTATGATTTTGAAAATGACCAGAATTTGGCTAGTCTTTGTACAAATAAGAGGGAAGGTTGTATAGACAGTTATTAGATTAAGTTATTTGATGGATGGCCTGAGACTGCAAAGTGGAATGATATAGAGGAGTCTTCAGCTGGCTAGTTAGCTTTAAATCTGCTTTATATGGCTAGAGGGTTGCAAAGCAGACTTAGCATGTGTCAGGATCACTAGCTGTAGGCCTCCATATTCAGAGCATCTGGCAGTGGCACTCCACCCTCTTTGCACCCAAAGAGCAGCCCTGAAAAAGGGATAACATATGCAGCCTAAAAAGTAATCTCCAGGGCAAGCTGCAAAAGTCTTCTAAGAAACAATATATTCCCATACAGCAGGAGGAGTGTGCATATACGCATGTGCACACATGGGCAATGGCACAAAAGAGAAAAGAATCCCTATAGTTCTGTCACTCTCACAGGCAGTTTTCTTACAACTGAATATCCCAAAGACAAAAGAACCAACTAAGCCCTTCCTCGTGAAGAAAATTTCACAACACAACCTACCCCTCCTCATAGGTCTCTCTCCACACAGGTTATTATTGATCTTTGCTCACCCTTTCTAAATCCACAAGATCCCAGTACCTTCCGCAAACACTCTCGCTCTCAGAGGGATACCAATTCTTACCCTATTCCCTTGTAAGAGAAACAGAAATGCTGGTTGAGGGATCAGCAATAAGGAGAAAGCAAAAAAGGAGGGAAAAAAAGAACAAAATACAAACAACCCCTCTGCAAATCCTACAACTGGTTTTTTGAAGGCCTGTTCCAAGTACTGGCTCCTTCTAATGCTTTTGAATCCTTTTAAAGAGACACTCATGTCCTTGGGTGACAGTCTTTGCTGGGGGAGTCAAGGGGCCACAATGGAGCAGCATTGCAGTAACACCCACCCTCCCTCGCAGTCCTGGTTCTGTCCATTGCTGGATATAATTATTAGTTATAGTACAATAGAATTTTTAAGAAAATACAAACATATGTTTACTTACTAAGGCATTTTGGCGCAGGAGACCAGCCCGCTTTAGTACATCTGATCAGAGGCCACCTCTCCTCTCTTTCAGATACGTAACCATCAAGACATCTGTAGTAAATTGACACGCCCAACTGTGCTGGAAAGGCTCGTTCTTTGTAATGTTCATAATAGTCAGTTAATGCTCCATTTTCTATATGTGGGTAGTCACAGAGTCTCACTTTAAAAAAAGTTTAAAATGTATAATATTAGAAGGTGCACGTGGACACTAATTCAAAGAGGTGGAAGGAGAGAAGAACTCTTCCAGGTTACAGCCGCAGTTTACCCAAATTGTTCCACTGGAGCAGGAGATAGAGCTTTCACCTGGTAGGCAGGGTTTCCAGCCCCCAGAACCCACATGTTGTGTGGGATCTCCGCATGATACAAGGCCATCCACCAGTTGGCAAGAGAGTGTCATGGAGGTGACTGAATTTCCTCCACACAAGACAGGACATGATCCACATACTAAAGGTTCTCTTTATGTGCAGATCCAGATCTTTGGATTAACTCCATGTTTTCCAAGACATCTGTAGTCACATTATCAGAGAATTAATTTATAACACCATTGCTGGGCTCCAAATCCACTTACACCTCTTCCTGTTTTAAACAGCTGTCATTTGTTTGTAATTATCAAAGCCAAATTCTGAAGTCCTTGATAAGTTTTTACTCAGTCCCCACTCAACAAAACTCTTATTACAGCCACTGGGATTTTATCTGAAGAAAGATTGAGTAAACATTTGAGAAAGAACTTCTTGATTTTGCACAGGGAAAAGAACTGCCTGGAAGAATCTGTTGTACGCATTGTTGGTGTTCCCATGTCACTCCCAGGATATTAGAAAGTGAAAGTGGGTGTGGTAATATATTTTATTAGATCAGTTTCTGTTTGTGAGAGAGACAAGCTTTCAAGCTTACACAGAGTTCTTCTTCAGGTAGAGACTGAAAGTTCAGAATAAATGAGGAAACAAAAATGGAGGGTACAAATCTAGGGCTGTGGTATATGTAAGTGACTCAGAATCCAATTATGATAATAGGTTTTTATTTTCTTTTATACCATTCATACACTCATGGTATCATGCTTGGATGCTATTATTTGGATGGATAAAACACAGCTACAAATCTTCCCTGTAGAAGGGTTGACTCTAGCACATTTTGTCAAATAAATCATGATGTATATGTTAGTTGTATAGTTATTTACAGCTCCATTCACTTATACCATATCATCTTATTTTCACAGGTGCTTCATCCAAGTCCATCAAAGTAAATAAGGAAAGTAAATAAATAAGTGTTATTTACTCCTTCTCATAACACAAGAACTAAGGGTTACCAAATGAAATTAAAAGGCAGCAGGTTTAAAACGAACAAAAAGTATTTCTTCACACAACACACAATCAACCTGTGGAACTCTTTGCCAGAGGATGTAGTGAAAGCCAAGATTATAACAGGGTTCAAAAAGGAACTATATAAGTTCATGGAAGATAGGTCCATCAATGGCTTTTAGCTAGGATGGGCAGGGATGGTGTCCCTAGCCTCTGTTTGCCAGAAGCTGGGAATGGGTGACAGGGTATGGATCATTTGACGATTACCTGTTCTGTTCATTCCCTCTGGGGCACCTAGCATTGGCCACTGTCGGTAGACAGGATACTGGGCTGGATGGACCTTTGGTGTAGTGCTTGGGGGGATATTTTTGGGGAAAGATGTCTCCAAGTGGGCTCTTTCCCTGTTCTTTGTTTAACACGCTTGGTGGTGGCAGCATAGGGAGAAGAATCTGTTGTATACATTGTTGGTGTAGCCATGTCGGTCCTAGGATATTAGAGAGACAAAGTGGGTGTGGTAATATCTTTTATGGGGCCAGTTTCTGTTTTTGAGAGAGACAAGCTTTCAAGCTTACACAGAGCTCTTCTTCAGGAAGAGACTGTGACAATTCAGAATAAATGAGGAAACAAAAATGGATGGGTAGCGGGGTGGACACCAGCTCGAGCCCAGAGGGGTTAAAACAGCCCTGAGAGAGGCTACTGCAGAAGAAAGGCAGCAGGGCTCATTGGGGAAGCAGCCTTAGCTGAGGGGGCTACACCCCAATCAGGGCCCAGCTGGCTCTGTAAAGACTGTGAGCCAGAGGCCCAGGAGACTCTCTCTAGCTTCTCAGAGGGACGGACCTGGCTGCAGGGATCTAAGCAGAGTACTTAGACTGGAGCAGAGCTGGGGAAGGGCTGAGGAGCTGGGGCACTCCAGCCAGGAAAGCCCCAGGCTGCGGCCTAGTATTAGGCCCAACAGTTACTGGGGTTGCAGGGGACAGCCCAAGGTTAGACAGATGCAGCAGGTCCAAACCCAACCTTGCCTGTGATGAGTGGCTCATACTGCAGTCTGCCCAGGGCGAGGACTAGCTGGTGACTGGCAGAAGCCTATGACTGAGGCAAGGTAGGGATAGTGGATGAGGGGTTCCCCTTGGAGAGGGAGATCCAGAACTGTGGGGTACAGCCAGGAGGCAACACCCAGTGAAAGAGGTACCGGGGTCCTGGGAGGGACACGGGAGCCAGCAGCAAGGTGAGATACCAGCCTGAAAAGGGCGCTCTGGAGGCTGGAACGCTAATTCCCAAGGACAACCAACAGGCAGCACCGCTGGTGAGTCCTTGCCCGGTTACAGGATGGTACAGATCTAGGGCTGTGGTATATGTAAGTGACTCAGAATCCAGTTATCATAATAGGTTTTCATTTTCTTTTATATCATTCATACAGTAATGGTATCGTGCTTGGCATGCTATCATTTGGATGGATAAAATACACAGCTACAATCTTCCCTGCAGAAGGGTTGAGTCTAGCAATTTTGTCAAATAAATCATGGTGTCTATGTTGGCTGTATAGTTATTTACAGCGCCATTAACTTATACTGTATCATCTTATTTTCACAGGTGCTTTATCCAAGTACATCAAAGTAAATAAGGAGTAAATAAAAAACGGTTACTTACTTCCTTGTAACTGTTGTTCTTCGAGATGTGTTGTTCACATCCATTCCACATTAGGTGTGTGCGCACTGCGTGCACAAGTGTCGGAAACTTTTTCCGGGGCCCCCCGAGTGGCGCCACTGTGCCGTGCAATTATACCCCTGCCGGCCCGACCCCCTCCAGTTCCTTCTTGCCGGCGACTCCGACAGAGGGATAGGAGGGTGGGTGGTGGAAGGGACATGAACAACACATCTCAAAGAACAACCGTTATGAGAAAGCAAGTAACCATTTTTTCTTCTTCAACTGCTTGTTCACATCCATTCCACAAGCAGGTGAATTACAAGCTTTCCTCTGGAGGAGGGTAGGAGTTACGGAACAACTGCTCAAAGGACAGCTCTGCCAACTGCCACGTCCTCTCTGGCCTGCTGGTTGACCACATAGTGGGTCGTGAAGGTGTGCACCAAGGACCAGGTGGCTGCTCTGCACATTTCCTGGATCGGGACCTGTGACAGGAACGCCATGGAAGTCGCTTGTGCCCTGATCTAGTGGGCCATGACCGCCGGGGCTGGAACACCTGCGAGCTCATAGCATGCCCAGATGCAGCTTGTAATCCAAGATGAGATCTGCTGCACTGACACCGGGAGGCCTTTCATCCTCTCGGCTATGGCTACGGCCACGAACAGCTGCGTGGATTTGTGAAAGGGCTTGGTGCTCTCCAAATAGAACACCAGCGCTCGACGCACATCCATGGTGTGCAAGCTGCGGTGACTCGGGTCCGTATGGGGTTTTGGGAAGAACACTGGCAGACAAATGGAATTGAGAGACCACCTTAGGGAGGAACTTGGGCTGTGGCCAGCACTGCACCTTGTCCTTGTGAAATACTGTATACGGTGGCTCAGAGGTGAGGGCCCTCAGTTCTGACACCCTTCTGGCTGAGGTAATGGCAACCAGAAATGCCACCTTCCAGGTAAGGTGGAGGAGAGAACAGATAGCGAGGGGCTCGAAAGGGGGTCCCATGAGTTTAGAAAGGACCATGTTAAGGTTGGATGGAGGGACTGGGGGGGCGGGAGTACGGGAACACCCTCTCCAACCCTTTAAGGAACCGTCCCACTATTGGATGAGAAAACACCGAGCCCCCCGAGAACCCCAGATGGAAGGCAGAGATGGCCACCAGGTGCACTCTAAGTGAGGACGGGGTTAGCCCTTGCTGCTTGAGGTGCAGGAGGTACTCCAGGATGGCCTCCACTGGGGCCTGGCCCGGCCACATCTGTTGGGGTTCACACCAAGACGAGAACCTTTTCCACTTGGACATATAGGCCACCCTGGTAGAGGGCTTTCTACTGCCAAACAGAATCTGCTGCACGGGAAGGGAGCACTGGCTCTCCAGGGCGTTTAGCCACAGCGCCTCCATGCTGTCAGGTGCAGTGACTGTAGGTCGGGGTGGAGAAGCCACCCACCGTCCTGCGTAATGAGATCCCAGTGTAGGGGCAGAACTACTGGGGCCTCCACTGACAGCTCTAGGAGCGATGCATACCAGTGCTGCTGGGCCCAGGCTGGGGCGATGAGGATCACCGCCGTCCTGTCCCTGCACACCTTGAGCAGGACCTTGTGCACCAAGGGGAGTGGGGGGAAAGCATACATCAAGCCCCCTCTCCATGGGATTGCAAATGCATCCGCGAGCGAGCCCGGGCTACGGCCCTGGGATGAGCAGAACCGCGGGCACTGGGCGTGGGCCCTGGTGGCAAACAGGTCTAGCCGGGGAAACCCTCACCAGCGGAAGAGCGAAAGCATGATGTCCGCCCTGAGCATCCACTCGTGCATGTGGTACGACCTGCTGAGGGAGTCTGCCAGCTCGTTTCGTACCCCCAGGAGATAGGATGCCTCGAGGAACGAGCCCCGCCCTGCTTGTTTATATAAAACATGGCAGTAGTGTTATCCACCAGAACTGTCACGCTGTGACCACTCAGAGTGGCGTGAAAGGTCTGGCAGGCGAGACAAACCGCCCTGAACTCCTTCACATTGATATAGAGCGACCGCTCTGCTCTGGACCACAACCCCTGCATCATGAGGTCCCCCAGGTGAGCCCCCCATCCATGGTCTGACACGTCCATCACCAGTGTCAGGTCCGGTTGTGGGGCGGCAAAGGGGATGCCTTCGCAAATCACAGGGTGGGACTGCCACCACAGCAAGGAGTCCAGCACATCCCTTGGGCTGTCACTACCAAGTCCAGGGGGTCCCTGCCTGGGCGGTACACCCGAGCGAGCCACGCCTGCAGAGTCCTGAGTCTCAGTCTGGCATGCCTGACCACGTGCGTTCATGCTGCCATGTGGCCCAGAAGCCACAGACAGCACCTGGCCATTGTCATTGGAAACTGGCACAGGGAGGCCACCGCTTGTTGGATAGCCCGGAATCGGGATACTGGAAGGCTTGCCCTGGCCTGCACCACATCCAGGACCGCCCCTATGAATTCCACTCTCTGCATGGGCACGAGCGTGGACTTGGGGATGTTGACCAGGAGCCCTAGCTTGCGGAACAATCTCAGGGCCACCTCCACATGGCCCCGCACTTCCGCCTCGGATCAGCCTGCCAGGAGCCAGTCATCGAGGTACGGGTACACCCGGATTCTCTGCCTCCGTAAGAAGGCCGCCACCACCGCCATGCACTTTGTGAACACCCTTGGGGCCGTGGCTAGACCGAATGGGAGAACCGCAAACTGGTAATGTTCTTGGCCCACGGTGAAACATAGGAACCACCAATGTGCTGGGTGGATGGCGATATGAAAGTATGCATCCTTCATGTCGAGGGCAGCATACCAGTTCCCCGGATCCAGGGAAGGGATGATGGTGCTCGTGAGAGGGGTCCCTGAAGAGGGAGGGGGAAAGAGGGTGGGAGTGAGGCAGGGAGGGAGGGAGGGAAGAGAATTGCAGTGAGTACCCGTTCCGCACCGTGCATAAGACCCAATGGTCTGACGTAATGGTGGACCATGCACGGGAGAAACGGGACAGGTGGTTCAGGAAACAAAGGGACGGATCCGGTGACTGGTCTGGTACACTGTCCTCGAGCACACCTTCAAAAGCCGGCTTAGTGCCCGGCTGGGGTTTGTGCTGGCCTTGGTTCTGGCCCGGCGCATTATTGTTACTATTGTTGTTGCGCCGTCACCTGTTATCCCTGCCTCGCTTACGGAAAGGCTCATGCCTATGGCAAGGTTGGTACTGGCGTTGACGGGGAGGCTGCGGCTTAAAGGGCTTCCTCTGAGTTGCCGGGATGTGCATACCCAGCGACTTAAGCATAGCTTGCGACTCCTTGAGGCTGTGCAGCCTCGTGTCTGTCTGGTTCAAGAAGAGCCCAGACCCTTCGAAGGGGTGGTCCTGGAGTGTATTCTGGACCTCGGGCGGCAGGCCTGACTCCTGAAGCCATGCCAAGCACCTCATTACCACCCCTGACACGATTGTTCTCGCTGCCACATCTGCCAAATCCAGGGAGGCCTGGAGAGAGGTCTTGGCTACTGCCTTGCCCTCGTCCACCAGGGCCATGAACTCCTGTTGGGAACCTTGCGGAAGGTTGTCCTTAAACTTCCCCACCGCGGCCCAGGAGTTGAAATTGTGCCTGTTGAGGATGGCCTGCTGGTTCGCAATCCTCAACTGAAGGCCCCCAGATGAGTACACCTTTCTGCCAAACAGGTCCTGGCGTTTCGCCTCCTTGACCTTAGGGGCCGGGGACTGCTGTCCATGGTGCTCTCATTTGTTTACCGCTGAGACTACTAAGGAGCATGGACTTGGGTGGCAGAACAGGAACTCATAGCCCTTAGAAGGGGCAAAGTATTTACGCTGGAGGCCGGGGTCTGCCATATAGTCTTATAGTTGGACTGAATGGTCTTAATGAGCGGGAGCGCTATTCTGGATGGACCTTCAGGGCACAAAATGTCTACCATGGAGTCTTCCTAATCAACTGTCTCCTAGGCCTGCAACCCCAAGTTCTGGGCGACCCTGCGCAGCAATTCCTGGTGGGTCTATCGGTGGAGGGCCGGACACCTCTGTACCCGCCACCGCCTCATCCCGGGAAGACGAGGAGGTTAGCTGCTGCTTGACCCCCTCCGGTTGATCCTCCTGCTTCCCTTCTTCTGTGGAGGGGTCTCGGCTCAGGCCGGGGCGGGAGTCCATGGGATGGCACTGGACTCGGTGCCGGTTTCTCCCATTTACCCTGGGGGGATGCTGGAGGCCTGGATACTATAGCCTCTGTCACCATCTGGCATCGGTGTGGGGGACCGGGACCGCTGCACCAAGTAACTTGCCCTGGACGGGGCCCCTTGGTGCTCCTCATAGGCTCAGAGGGTCCAGAAGGGACAATGGCCTGGCAGCCCTCATTGGGGTTACCAGCCCACCTGAGGGTCCCTGCTGTCTGGGGCCCGGTGTGGGTAGCTGTAGCAGCCAGAGTCGGAGCTGGACTGCGGTGATGCCAATCGCGAAGGCCATGGCAGTGCCAATGATCTGTGTCGGCGGGAGAACGAGCAGCTCCTGGCTGAGCGGGAGCAGTATTGGTATCAGGACCAGGACTGGTGCTGGCGTTTCCTGGACCGGGACCGTCTGTGGGAGTCCTCTGGTGAGGGCAGTCTCAACTCCTCCCAGTGCCAGTCTCTGGGTGGTGCCGGAGAGCAGCATGCACTTTCTGGTGCTTCCTCGCACCGACCCACTGCCGGTGCTGCAACCTCCTTCTGGGCCGCTGGCAACTGTGAGTCCGCGGAGTTGGAGCTCCACCGGGACCAACTCTGGGAGCAGTGCCGGGATGGTATACTTGAGTGGCACACCATTGTCAGCTTACCCCTCGACGGCACCCGAGGCATGGGTGCCGGAGGGTTCTCCCCATATGGGCGGGGGCTCGCCACCGACAGCTCATTGAGGTCCTTTGCAGCCTCAAGGGTGCCAGGCATAGAGGGCTGATCCGTTATGCCCTTGAGCCCATTGTCCGCACTGAGCTCACTTAGGTCTGGGCCGGTGGGGCTTGTGCTGCCAGGACCACCTGTGTCAGCGCCGGTACCGGGCCTTCCCGCTCTTATTGGCGCTCGATACCTTGGGAGGTACCGGCCTCCTGTGCGGGGAACGACCGCGCCTTCCTTTTGGCTGCGCCGGGGGCTGCACCGCAGAGGACAAGCGGTGCTGGGGCCTAGCCTGGTGCTCTGGGGCCGACAGTTTACGGTGCTTAGCAGGTGCCGGGTCTTTCGACAGCTCCGGGGCACTACACACCGAGGAAGCCTGAGCCGGTGTCAGGCGCTCCAGGCCTGGCAGCTGCAATGTGGCCTCCATCAACAGCTGCTTTAAACGAAAGTCTCTTTCTTTCCTTCCTTGTTCTTGGCTTAAACGCCTTGCAAATCCTACACCGTTCAGTTTGATGTCCGTCCTCCAGGCAACATACACAGGAGTCATGGGGGTCACTAACTGGCATAGGTTTGCGGCACATGGCACAAGCCTTGAAGCCGTGGGCCTGCAGCATGGGTGCTGGAAGCCTCCAAGCACTTAATGATTTAAGTGTCCATAATAGGTATGTTAACGAACTGCTAACAGCTACTCTAAAGGCTAAGGGACTGCTCTTCTACGAGAGAGAGAGAGAGAGAGCGCGCCACGGACGGTAAGAAGGAACCGGAGGGGGTCGGGCCGGCGGGGGTATATATGCACGGCCCAGTGGCGCCACTCGGGGGGCCCCGCTGGCCTGACGGGAGCCACTAAGGGGAAAAGTTTCCAACGCTCGTGCACGCGGCGCGCGCACATCTAATGTGGAATGGATGTGAACAAGCACTCGAAGAAGAACTACTGCTTTCAAATTCTCTTGCTCCGGACACATGTAACATGAGTAAACCCTCAGTGGAATACTATAGGGATCATCACTCAAAGAAAAAGGAGCAGTTGTTGTGGAAGGGTGGGGGGTGAGGCTATGGAGAGGAAAGGTCATCCTCCAGTTTTGGAAGTTGCTGTATCTTGCCTGACATCTGACTGATCCCAATGCATTTTACCAAGTCAGCAGCCTACTATATATGGTGATTGGAGACATCTACATTTGCTTATACACTCGCCAGTTTCATCCATAGCTTTAAAGACAAGAAAAATAAGTTATTTCAGAAAATAAATGGCCTTGAATACAGACCCAATCCATTTTGTAAATGACAAAATAATACAAATGTACCTGTCAGTTCTATGTACTGTCAAAGGAAAGGGGCAAACACCTGACCAAGTACCCACAATTGACATTTTAAAAAAATACTAGGTTAGCAAGTGCTTTCTTGATCTGATATGTTTAGTATATGGAGTTGGGTTTTACATTTGTTCAGCAAGATAAGACATAAATGCAACTTACTGCTACACCATGGAGGAGGCAACCAGCCATTCTTTGTGCATTCAGCTGTATCTTGGTCATTATTAGTGTGAAATCCACGATTACACGTAATTATAAGGACATCACCATCCCTATATACATTCCTTTGAGGTCTGAATCTACCATTAACAACTTCTGGAGGATCACATACAATTTCTAATGAGAATGAGACAAATACATTTTACAAATGAAAATAGGCCAGTAGGCTGTACAGTCCATCAGCAATTACTGTAATTTATCTCTGAATAAAACATATGGAAATTGCACAGGAGGGAAGATACAATGTTCCCTACTTTTACTGTAATGCTGTTTAAGAAGTTGCCAAATAGAATGTGGACGTACTGATTTTTAATTGAGCAATACACATACCACAGCTGTTCAAAAATTTTCATTCAAAACTATTGCTTTTAAATGAGAAATGGTCTTTTTTCTAAACCAATTACTTTCATAAATAAGGTTTGGTTGTGTTTTTTTGGTTTGAATTTTTCCAGTTTCTCATAAAAATTGAATATTTTAAATTTTGGGTTTTTTTCTCCTTTCTACTCCCATTTTCCCCTTTTTACTAAATACAATAGATTTGAATGGTGTCAAGGGCTTTTTCCTCCGCTTTTTCTTTTTTTCATCTTTGTATAGTTACAGAGTAGAAAAATCAAAGTTGGAGGAGTTTTCAAAATTTCCAGAGTGGAAAAAGTGAGATGAAACCCTGGAGATTATGCATTAAGATTTAAAAAAAAAAAAGAAGAAGGAGGAGGAGGATTGATGGGAAAAAATAACATTCAAAATATTGAAATTAAAATGTATATATTTTATAGAAAAAAATGAAAATTGCTCTATTTCAAACCCTGCAAAATGGTAAAAGCATCAGCTGTCAACACTTTTCACAAAATTGCTTCTGCATTTTTCACCCAGCTCTGGTAAATATGCTGTGTCAGGGCTGGTAGCATAGAAATTGAAAGGACATTGTGTTATCTGTAGTTACAAACTGTTACATCCAGCACTTGACCATACTATCAGAGGCAGATTACTGTTTTGTGGGGCCCTGGGCCAGAGCAAGTGGGCCCCACCCCTTCCACCTGCAGTCCCCCCCACCCAACCGGGCGCTCCTGCCGGGGAGCAAGGTCAGGGCGCAGGGGCTTGCCCAGCTCTGCCTACCCAGTGCTCCTGCCAGGGAGAGAGGACGGGGCACGGGTGCTTTCCCTGATCCCCAGCAGGAGCTCTGGGAGGACGGAGCGGAACGGAGCACAGGGCTGCCCATTTTTCCAGGGCCCCCCGAATAAGCCAGGGCCTCTGTGCATGGGCCCCGTTGGCCCAGTGACTAATCCATCACTGCATGCCATCTGTACACTGCTCCCACTCCCAGCACTTTCATAACCAATAGCGACAAACCAAGCTCCAGGCACAAACTCGGTTTTCCCATTATAGACCCAAGTTCTGTTATCAAAAGAGGGCTGAGCTGCTCCGAACACTGTTGCTGAGAAAGCCTCTGAGTAGTGCCATTAAATACTCCATGTATAGATTCAGTAACATCTGAAATAGCCTTAGATTTGCCTAGTTACAGACAGTAACTCATTTACACTTTTAAAATTGTTGTACAACAAATTAAAGCCACTTGGTTATTAAATTAATTTGAGGGGCCAGAGTGGAGCAGGGAGACTCTGCCTCACAGTGTCTATTAGCCCCTAAAATGTAATTAGCTTAACACAAGTCCAGTCTGGAAGGCTTTCCCCACTGCACTGTAGGGATGAGAGCAAAGAAGCAGCTCTTTCACATTCACATATTCCTATCATTGCAGAGTGCCCTCTATTGAAAGCAGGATATTTGAGATATCCAGTACGGCCCATCTCCACCTACCTTTGCATTCCGGATAGACAATTGGATTTCCATGGCACTGCACCATAAAAGTAGATTGAGATAAATTAGTTGCAAGTGCATATCCTGGTTTGCAGCGAAGCTCAAGAAAATCACCACGTTTTAGGTACATCCATTGCAATATGGTCTCATTTGCTCTCCCATTCAACTCTACCATCTGGTTTTCCATTTCTTCCACTGAGATAGCACATGGCTCTAAAAGAAGAAAAAGGTGTGGTTGTCTTGGTAATGCCCCAAGTAAGCACATTGAGGTAATGTGTTTACACAAGTGATGAGTCTGATTCAGTGAATCTCTCCATAAACCTCAAAGCCTAAGAAAGCAGTATCTTTTTTTACCTAAACAAAGTGGTGCTTTTGTCCAATTCCCATTGTCACAAAACGATCTGTTCTGTCCTTCCATTGCATAAAATTTTTGGCATTTGAATTCTACAAAGGAGCCAGCTGTGTATCCTTTTTCCAAGAAAGTAGTTATGTCTCCATTCTCAATAGTAGGTGGACGGCTACAGTTTTTTCCTCTTTCTAAAAGGAAAAAATGACAATTATAATCATCTTATGCAAAAATGGTTATGATGTAATTTTTTGGCTTTGGTACTGCACGTGGAAAATGGCTCCTTGTCCAAGATTAGGGAAACCACTTGTAAAAACCTCATGTGGCTGAGCTAGGCACAATGACCAAAATACTAAGGGCCTCATCCTCAGCTGGTGTAGAGCAGCACAAGGTCTATGTACCATTTATGCCCTACCTTGTGCTGCCCTCTGAACAGCAATGAATTCACCCTGAATGAGGCAGGAGCCCTGTGGAAAATACAGTATACCATCATGTAAGTGATGCCTACAGAGGGTGATGCAGTGCCTCGTGAGTGATTATCGCTAATGGAAGGGGCGGGTGTCACAGTCCAGAACACTACATGCACCTACTTGACTGTACACAAGAAATCAAATAAAACTGAGAAACTGAATTATCAAAATACAGTGCAGATTTACCAGAGATACATAAAGGTAAATCCATGTGCCCATTAACACACTTCCTGACTGAAGAGGTGGTGAGGGTATATCCTTCACTGCACATAAATTCCAGTGTGTGGTCACTCTGAATCAGCTGTGCATGTCTTTGGCCATTGGACAGAAGCAGATTTTTGGTCTCCAGTTGCTGTTTTGTGAGGCTACACGGTGCTAAAGAAAAACCAGAAAAAATGAAAATGATAGAGCCTGATTTTTCAGTGTCCTTCATCTTGCGCAGCCATTTACCTGCTCTGTAGTGAGTCACTGCAAAACATGCCCATTCTGCTTTGTACTCTTTCTCTGCAGGGTGTAAATTGTTTGTAAGATGCAAGGCAGTGGGGAATCAGACCCATTATCTTCATCAAGATATAGATTAAAATGTATTTCTAACAACAACGAAAAAATTCACATTGCTGAGAAGGAAAAAAGAGGTATTTCTAAATGTTAATTTAGATGTGTGTGTATATGTATATACATACATACACACACAAACACATAATGCAGTGCTGCCAACTATCATGATAGATCTGTAGTGATATCCGGGGCATTTTTAAATCCCCAGTTTCAGGAGTCAAGTGAATACAGAGGAATCCCATCTTTTGTTTAATAAAGTAAGTTTCTAGTCAATTCAATTATTTAGAAAAGCTCGAAAACACGATCCCAGTGTACCTTAAGGCTCAAAAAGCAGAAGGTAAATAAAAATACCCAAAAGGTAGTATTTTTTTTAATGAATTTCATTATTTTTAAACTAGTCTCATGAATTCTGGAATCTTGGGGTTAACAATACTGAATAGATAGCAGGAAAATAGGATTTTACCAAGAAAGTATTATCTCAACCATAACTAACACATGGGTCACTAGTTTGATACTATATTCAGTGATAGGGCACTAACAAATATATTTATCCACATATACAAAAGAAAATTTCAAAATACTATGTATATCTGGGAATGTACCCTCGTCCAAATCTAGTAGCCCAAACTCCCACACAAAATTAACAGGAATACTTGTGGCACCTTAGAGATTTACCAATTTATTAGAGCATAAGCTTTTGTGAGCTACAGCCCACTTTATCAGATGCATAGAATGGAACATATAGTAAGATATATATCTACACACACACACACACATATACAGATAAATTGGAAGTTACCATACAAACTGTGAGAGGCTAATTAGTTAAGATGAGCTATTATCAGCAGGAGAAAAAACTTTTATAGTGATAATCAAGATGGCCCATTTAGACAGTTAACAAGAAGGTATGGGGATACTTAAGGAATAAAAGGAATATATATATATACTATAAGTTCCATTCTATGCATCCGATGAAGTGGGCTGTAGCCCAAGAAAGCTTATGCTCTAATAAATTTGTTAGTCTCTAAGGTGCCACAAGTACTCCTGTTCTTTTTGTGGATACATACTAACATGGCTGCTACTCTGAAACCGGTCATATAAAATTAACTATTCACTCAATAAAACAGAAATCATAACCTTAATTTATTACAAATGACAAGGAAATAAGTCCTAAAACAGAGAAATCCCTAAAGAGGAGAAACTGATGATGTATGTTTATTGGCAAATGGCAAGCAAGGGCCTGCTCCTGCAAACCGGACGCATGCACGAGATTCCAATGAGGCCAATGAGACTACTTACATTCGAAGAACTTTTGTGAATAGGAATTGCAGGAGTGCATCTAGGGCCTGCTCTTGCGGCTGGTGAAGTCAGTGGGAACCAGATTGGTATAGACTTTGTCAGCAAGCCCATTTGTTCCTCCATACTGTAGCTGGTATTTTCCAGGACTTGCTGAAATTAGCCATTTCTTGATGGAAAGGCCTCAGCCGTCCCATTCCTACACTACTCAAAGGTGCATCAATCATATGAAATGAAAAGAGGCACTAAAAAGTCATCAGAAGAAATAGAAGTTCTAAAATCCTACATCATACACACTATATACATGAAGACTTAGACATGGAAAGGGCAGGGTAAAAGGAACAGTAATAAATCAATAAAATTAATTCCTGCTATACTTACCTGCCAGGACTGAAGTTTGGTATTCAGTAATTTCCCCTCACAGATGATAACATCACAAATACCTAATATAGGTGTTTTAGGTGTTAATAGTGTCAAGAGATGGCAACAGTTATAGGAGAAGATACACAGATCACTGAATTCAGGTCTTTGCAACTTAACAAGCATTTCATCTCATCAATTAAATTCAAGGGGTTGTCAAAATCAGCAGTAGGCTGAGCTCCAAAATCCCCAATGCTGCATTAAGAATAAATGATTTCTCATTAGAATCAGTCTCTTACATTTCCAAACCTCACTTCAGTACAAGTGAGCACAGACATTGCCTCGTGCCAGAGTACGTGTGTAAAATCAAATCACTCACCTGCACGCAGTTTCTACGTAGTCAGGAGACAATCAAAGCCATATTAGGCGGTGTACAGTGTTTGGACGGTCACATGGATGTGACACAATAGCTTACATGGGTCTCTAAGCAACATACCATTATGTGCAGATTTATGCAATAACCAATATACACATCCGTCTGGTTTGTATATAACTTTGTCTAAGTCAAGTAGCCAGGATTTCAATTATCTGAGGTCCTAACAAGTAGCATAATCTTACAGTATCCCCTAAAAAGATGAGACGCCCCTGTACAATACCAAGTAGTTCTAGGATACTTTGCTTTTAATAAGACTCCCTCTTATACAGTGTAAGTAAAAATATCACATATGTTCAGTTTCCTGAACATTACAGTGCTAAACTAGCAGGGTATCAGCTAATTTGTTTAGTAAACTATATTAAAAGAAAATCAACTCACAGCCCCTCTCTAATAACAAAAACTAATATAAACAACAAGGAGTCTGGTGGCATCTTAACGACTAACAGATTTATTTGGGCATAAGCTTTCGTGGGTAAAACACCACTTCTTCAGATGCAACACTAATATAGAATTCATGGACTTTCTAATAGAATTTTGGAATTGTAATCGCTTCCATGCCTATGACAGTAATGCATATGTAAAAAATAAACAATAGTTAGTTGGACCTTTGCAGGGATGTTGAATATCTCACTTCTTTACACACCACAGCTGTAGTATGTATATAGTGCACATCCCCAGGTTTATCTAGGCATATCCAGTTAGCACATCCCCCTCACTCAGTGGCTTTTTCCCTGCTTTCAGGGGAGGACTTTTAGCAGTGAAGCAGGCCATGATAAATGGAGAGATGCACCCCTCTGTACCCCTTTCCAAGGTACAGCCTTAGGGGGCCCATCAACTCCTATGATGTCACTGAAATGAGGATCTTGATAAATATTATTTGCCAATTTCTCCTAATGCTGCAGCCCTCTTCTCTTTGTTATGATGATACAATGGTGTTTCATCGCCATATTCTTTGTTATGGATATTTTTAAACCTTGCCTCCAGTATTCAGATCCTGTGTTGTTGCTCGCATTTAGGGTTATTAACAACAGAAATCTTGGAATTTGATAAAATGGAGAAATGGAGTAATATAAATAAATAAATTTAGATGTTCTTTTGTCTTGTTATAAAAGAGACCCACCTAATTTAAATTTCATATTTGAAACTATTTGGTGATCTGCAAAGATCTCATCAATAGAAATTCCTAGGGACCAGATATGGCTTGAGCCATAAACCAGATAGTTGGATCCTAGGATCAAGTGTGGTCCATCGGACACAGGAATCTGCCCTGAATTCTGGTACCACTACCCTGGTCCCTCATAGTTGAGGAGCATTTGAATTCATGGGTTTGATTTGGGTCCATCTCTACGAAAGAACCAACCTGTGGGAAAAAGCAAAAAAGCAGTTCCCCTCACCTAAACACTGTGGTGCAGGTTTCCAGGTTTTCCCACTGCATGTGATCCATTCAGTTCCCATCAGGCTGTATCCAGGATTGCACTTGTACTGCACTTTGTCACCTTCTCTGTACTAAAACCAACACCTGGAACTGCTCACTACACAGCAAAAATACACATAGCAGAAAGAGGAGGTCTAGAGACGGGCAACCATGATGAGGAGCATGGAAAGAGCCAGAAACCTGGGACAATGAGGAATTTATTAATATGCTACATGGTCCTGCTCCAAAGAAAATCTTTGTTCAGATCCACAACAGTATTCTCTGAAATGGGTAAAAGCCCCTTTGCAATTCTTCCATAAACATCCTTGTAATTTAGAAGAAAAAATGGGATTATGAATATAACCAATGGAGTTAATGTCGGGATACAGTCAAAAAGTAGATGAGCAGGAGATGAATTGGGTCTCATATGTATAACAGGGTTGGGGTGGAAAGCAGCATACAACAATAAATATGGAGGTCTCGCTGCATTATATAATGTGGGCTCCAATATTGACCCCTCTTTTATCCCATTTGATGGTCTGGTCCTCGTTTACCAACTAAATTGATACATGCTGTCCTTTCTTCTGTAGGGTGGATTGCACAATGTCTTAAAGATGGATGGGTCCTTTACCAAAGTGTTTCCATGAGTAATTTAATGGTTGAAGAACTCTCTACCTTTGTCACTTTGGTCCTTTCTTCCTGGCCATCAAATGAGCATTGTGCTCATGTATGGGGCAAAGATTTGTGGTTCATATGGGGAAATTTACAAGACTGAGGAATCCTAGGATTATGTCTGGATCTTTCTTTAATTGTTTCTTCTTACTTTGACGAGTCACAATCTATTGTTTCGGAAGGTGTCAGTGTCATAAATAAAAGAACTTACTGCCAGCATCTGATTGTATTTAAATCATAAGGACATACATTGTATGTAAAGCACTAGAGCAGAAAGGTTTCAGAACTCTTTCTACTGACTGTTGTTGCCTTAGGTATCTTGGGTTTCTTCCTGTGGTCCCTTTTCTCCACCCTACAGAAGAAAGGAAGGTACAGGGAGAAGGTGAACTCACAACTCCTGTTAATGTAACATTCAAAGAATAAAGTACTAAAGCTGAGGGGAGAACTGATGAGTGAGTATTCAGAACTTATCAAATTGAATTTTTCTTGCATGTATCTTGTAATATTATATGTTTTAAACCTTTCTTTTGAAGTGAGACGCTGTGGCTACCCACAGTTAATGCTCTGTCTTCTAGATGACTATTATGAATACTACAAAGAACAAACCTTTCCAGCACGGAACAAGGACTGGGGTGGGGT